TATGGAATTTATTTTCACTGATTTTTGACGAGTTGAATGTAAAATATAGGGGAAAAAAGTATATTCGCTGGATTTTATTTTCACGTAATCATTCTTTCAACGAAAATAGCGAAAATAAATTCCAAGCGAAAATAAAGTATTCTACAGTAATTAACTTTATATAAAATACAGTTTTGAAAGTGAAAGGAGTATGAACATATAGTAATCACAAAAACGATATCAAAAATAATGATATTATACTGCAGGATTTGGGACTACACATATTATGCATAGTTAAAGTAGAAGCTTGAGCAAGCCTCCAAAGGTGGTGCAATGCTTTTATAATAGACCAAACAGTACATTTAGTGGTCTTTTCAATTTGGAATGTAGTCGATTACAATGGTTGATGCAGGTAACAAACTGAAATCACTAATTTTCCTAATAATTGTTTCTAATATGTAAAATATACATGCAGACTGTAATTTTTAGATTACTTTATTTTTAGCTGTAATTAATTTTCACTGAAAAGAATGTTTTGTACAGAATTTATGTTTGAATGTAAAATATAGGAAAAAAGGTATAATTGCTGGATTTTATTTTCACTGAATCATTCCTTCAGCGAAAATTAATTGCAAGCGAAAATAAAGTATTTTACAGTAATCTGTATGACATCAGCTTTTTAGGTTTCAAGGCCTAATAATTTTGCTAATTTGATGCCTGAGATAAATTAAAAAAAAAACGTCATAGGACTTGTATTTTATATTGTACAACCGTGCATCATTATACCAGGGAATGTATAAAACCAGAATACTGTATGGGGTAAACATAAACACTCCTTATTTTACAACGCATTACATTACATGGACATCACTTACACTTAGGCCAGACTTTTATTATCCCTTGTTTCGCAAACCCGCCGAATGAACAGGAGCCGAAAATGAAATAAAAATAACATTTTATTTCAGTGTAATTTCACGCGCCCGCTAAAAAAAATTATTTTTATCTTCATTTTTTTCCTGCCCGCTGCATAACAAACCCAAGATGCATTTTCGTGGGAGTATCATGATCAAAGTATCGAAGTCCCGCGCAGATGAGAAACAAGACTATACATGGAATAACATTTTATTTCATTTCTTCTCTCCAATCAATGATCTAACTTACAATTCTTTGAGAATCACACAAATCTAATCAAAAATTCTCAAAATGATTGCCTTATAAAAACTCAAGAAACAAGGAATAAAAAAAGTCTGGCCTTATTAGACGACACATTTAATAAGGAGAGGGAAAGTAAACAAGCACATAAATTTAATAAAGTAACCTCACCTCTGAAAACCATTTAGAAAATAAACTATGACTATTAATTTCAATCAGTTGGCCATAGCTATACCTGAAAAACAATAAAACATCTTGAGTATATATACCATATTTACTCCATTAAAAGGGCAACTCCAGAATAAGTGCACTGAAACTGAAAACTGCATTTACTGTATACCAGAGAATTCAAATCTGAGTTTGGCCATAGACACAAATGTGTCATTTACCGGTATATATAAAAGCACTTGCACTACAAATAGAGCAAATGCCATATGTATACTCTAAAACATGTCTTTTTCGCGAGCATGTCTTTTAGCGAATTTAGCAAAAGAACTGATTCGCTATTAAATTCAAGATGTTGCTAATGACTTTATTATAAATTCAAAATGGACACCAAACAACGTCTTTTTTCTCCACGCACACTTTGTAAACACCACAAAAAAAACGTACTGACATGATAGATACACTTTATTGAAAAGTAAATTAACACAAAAAAATAAACGTATTCATTGTGGTCATTATTTCAATGAAAATAAATAAATGAAGTGATACTGATATATTATTACAGAAATTAGTAGTACTTAGTAATTTTTGATCACAATATAAAAGATTAATATTCTGGATGTAAGGCAGCAACGATACTCGCTTTTTAAAATCCCTGTTGAATCATTTTTTTATCATTGCGAACAGAATCAAATTACACTTGACAGTTTTTCTTTGTTTTATGAAGTTGATAATTGTGCATTTGTTTTTGCGCGCGACAGACAAGTATTGTGAGCAATTCGCTAAATCAATATTTTGCTATTATGTCATTATGTCGCTTTTTCAACATGTTTTACAGTATGCTGATAAAGTCAATTCATACCAATGCAGATGTTAGTATCTAACCATCTACTTGTACAGGGTAATATTATGTCTGATGTATATAGTAAATCTTAGACTTAATTTAAGAGCTTTTAAAAGTGCAGGGGATTAAGTGCCTGACAAAAATAAGCTAAAAGATTATTCTGGGCATTATATTTGGATAATACATTGCACCAAAGACCTTAGGAATATGGTTTCACCAGAACAAGTTTTACCCGGTAGTTCAACTTCAGGTAGCTCATTTAATATAGTTCAACTTCAGGTAGCTCATTTAATACATAACAATGTATACAGTTGTGTTCTTTACCATTATAAACACGTGGGAATAAATCACAGGGAGCCCAGGGAACTATAATCAACTGTAGTACGCAGTCTCTATGAGGGGGGGGGGGGGGTTGTATCGACTGGTATCTAGTGTAAGAAATAGACAAGGGATAAAGACTCCAGCCAGCTCACATTTTTTAAACTCGAAAAAACAGACGAAAAGAATGAACCAGTTGAGCAAGGCTAACCGAGTCG